GAGATAACAAAGGGAACTAGTAGAGAACTCTAGAAAACTCTAAAACTGTGAGGTACACAGGATAAATGACAAGTTTATAGTGGCTAATGTGAGCCTTCTGCTGGGGTACCATCAGCATCACAAAAATGCAATAGAGAGAATAAACAAATTCATAAATTACAGGACATTCATTAAAAGAGGAACTACAAGTTTGGCACAGTGGGTAAAAAGTATTAGGATTAACTGTCGCTATTCAACCAGCAGAGTCTAACTGCTGGAGCCATGGACTTTAATATCTCAAAAGCAAATAACTCATGTAATAAGTTAATGAAGGACTTAATTATGTACTGTTTATATATAGTCACAGCTGTTATTTACATTTATGAAACGGTCCAGGCTCGTAACGGGATTGGTTCTTCCACAGGGCATTGGAGTTCATGCAAATGACCCCAACCTGCCTCTGGGCAACACCCACCTGGACACCTGGTGGAGCAGGTGTGGGTGAATTTAACATAGGCCACGCCCCCCACGATGCTGCCTAGGGGGCGTATGTCAGCTGGCCTCCTCTCGGAGCGTGCAATAGGCCGGAGGGCACTTGGAGTTTCCATAACGGCTGTGAGAATTCATTTCTGCTTTTGGGGACTGCAAATGAAGTTAATGAAGGACACGGAGACATGAAGGAAGGACGTCTCCAGGAGTGACAGGACTGGCCAATCGGTTTATCATCCTGGCTCTGATGTGCTAGGGGAGCACATTAAGGGAGCGCGTTCTTAAAGGTAATTTTGTTTTAGTCAGCCCCAGGGTCGTTAAGCTTACCCCTTGGATAAAGCGAGGCGCCCTTTTCCTGCGCGCGGTACATGACGGATATCCTCCCCCGAGCACGCTCAACACCTTCAGCACAAACAGTAGTAATTGTAAAACAACATTGCGGACTGCCAGTAAGGTCACTGCCCCATGGCACATGGCTGGCATTTTGAGCCGCATGCTGCTTGTGCGCCGCTCACTCATCCGCTGGTCCTCCAAAGGAAACAAAACCTGCTTCTCACTCACTGACACCACCTCTCCTCTTATCTGACTGTCGCCTCACTGGCTTCACAAGTAGGAGGCGCTATTCAGCATGCAGAATCCCCGTTCTCATCCATTCTAAGCCTGCAATGCATTGCCTCTCAATGCACACTTTCGAAATTGGAACACGTTTTTTAATCGATATCCATCTGTACTAGGTTCATCTAAATTTTGAAATAAATTTTGTATTAGTGCTTCCTGCGAAATTCCAGTTCAGTTCCCAGCCCGACCCCATCCATACTCCTGCCTGCAGATTTCATGTGTTTGCATCTGTGCGGTGCTGAGTCATACCGGGTGAAACCATCCCTGAGCTAGGAGTGACTTCTCCACGTTCAAACCCCAGTTTAAAATCACAACCCACCCTGGTGTTCTGGAGCCAGTTTCCAGGACAAGGCTCTGAAAGCTCTGAAAGTGGTTGAGCTACTATGGAAAAACAACATGATGGGTGGGGGGGGAGGTCAACAAAGTACCTTATGGAAGGAACATCTTCTGGATGATGTAGATTACAAGAAACATTAGCATTCTCTGTTCATGCTACAGGCCTACAATTACAATGAAGAACACATGGTATTTAGCCCTGACAATGAAGCAGGGGAAACTTTTAAAGGATGTGATTTTTGTGTTCTGTTTGCCCATTGAGTTATTCATGTTGCACTCTGGGAAAAAAAAAAAAAGTTATCATGTTTCAAAACCCTAAGAATAGATGGAAAGTGAAACCAAACCAATCAGCTGTACGGAAGGAGGAAGGTCATTTCCCTCATCGCCATTACAACCACGGGAGTGACAAGTCTAAAACGCCCAACCACTGAAAATTTAGGAAAGTAGAAGTTGGCACATTGAAGAGCGGATTTTCATTTCAAAGGAAAAGCTCTGTCAATCTGCATTGCGGCTGGACTGCGAACTGGAAACGGCCTTGGGTTTCTGCACTGAAGCAGGAGGTCTGTGCGGCAACCAGGAAGCACCGGTATCCCAGCCCCAGGCTAAGCCTTTGGAAGATAGTGAATAACTCAGCTGGAACTTACGGGCCTCCATCCATCACGGTGGTGAAAAAAGACAGAGGAACTCTAAATTAAGCCAGCAGAGTGTGGACGCAAGCTTTTCCAATGCCTAACGGTGCACTGCAGGCTCTGGGCCTCAGAAAAGTCCATAAATCCAACAGGCCCCTCCCTGCATTGAATGGCAGGGGTGGGGGGGTTGGCTGCTGATGGCCACCAGAAGGGGTCCTGATGAAAGGTGAACTGATGCTTTCCAGGGCCCTGGGGGAAATCAGTCATGGCTTCTGCCTAAACTTGCCTAAATCAATTTCATCATCACCAACCACCTCCATATCCATACTACATTTCCCAGAATGCCTTAGGCACGACCAATACACAGCAACACATCCATCCATCCATCCATCCATTTTCTATGCCTGCTTTTCCTATGCAGGGTCACAGAAAAGATGGGTGCAATGCAGGGAATAACCCAGGATGGGGCATCAACCCATCGCAGGACACACACGCACCATTCACTCACATATTCATACCTATGGACAATTATGGCAACCCCAGCATTGTTTTGGACTGTGAGGGGGCTAAACATCATTAGAGAATATTAGCGATATTACAAATATGCACAATGTTATTTAAATGTATTGTTATTATAACCAAGATCTAAAGGAACATACCATTATACAGTACAGCAATACATCCCAACACAAAGAACATCAGGGGTTACATGATCTAATTGAAAAGGGAGGGAGAAAACCAAATTAATCAGTATTATTGAAGGCTTGTAATTGACAACAATTTTGTCACCAGAGCAGTATTTAAAGGCAATGGATCATACCATTTCTGCATGAATAGGGACCGTCCTTTATGGCAGGCCCATACACATACACTGCACTGTTTTCCATTGGACAGTCTGCCCCTCGCTGCTTGAATGCAGTGGGACCCCCAAATAACCTACAAATGCTCAATGATATTTACAGTGCCCCACTATTCATTTTCCAAAGGCACAACACGCTGAGTAACTCTTGTCTTACTGTCAGTAGTTTTCACCTCGTACCTCCTACCTCAGACTCAAAATAAACAATTATTGCTAACACACCCATGTCTAGTTACAGGCAGTAGCCTTACCTGGCTTGTATTCCTTGTTGTTATATTCATATAAAAATAGCTTTAGTTCTGTAATTATCTTGTTGAAGTGTTTGTACTCTACACCTATTAATTTCACTCCCTTTGTTACATGTTACGTCTGATCTCAGAAGTATAATTAAGGCACTTGAAATGCCAGCATGATTTCCTTGAGAGTCCAGACACCGAGAGGGTCGCAGCTGGGCATCAGTGCCGCTACAGCCGCGGCCCAATGGTGATCGCTGCGATCAGGCTGAATTTGATTGTCATCTTGAATACGTTATGGAAAAGCAGGGAGATTAGTTCACGGGAGTGGACCCCGAGGGTTATAGTGAGATTAACCTGTGGAACGTCTAACATGCGAGTCAGATGAACCTGTCACCCGCTGGTTGATTTAAACCATCCGAAACCCTGTTATGCTCTATGCCTTAATAACACATCGGGGTGTATCTGAGTTCATCATCAGAATCCATATAATAAACAGGCAAACATTTTTTCCCAATAGGCCTTGGGAGTCTGAAACTTTCCTCTCATATTCTGATCAGTCCACTTTCGAAAACCCAAAACCTCCTCTTCTGCCAACGAGCAGTCAGTGATTTAAGAGGCTGTCCAAACATCTCTCATAATGCAGGGGTATGATGGGTGGGGGCGACCAACTGCTTACAACCCAGAAGAGGACAGAAAGAATACAGAAAAAAAGACAGAGGGATTAATAGTCTTCTTATATCTAAAAGTCCACCCATCATGAATGACAGTGACTTGCTTTCCAGTTTAGACTGTGGTCTCGACCATGCCCTCTGTTGCGTACCCTTGCAGGAGAAGCATGTAAAGATTTATTCCAAAGCACAGTCCAGTCAATTCAGCTGAGGGCTACAAGCAAACACAAGTTACCCATCAACAGACAAACAATATAACCTAGAAGAAAATACATTTGCCCAGAAATCTCACTTGTACAGTAATATTTCTCTGTTCCATATATAGTCATAACAAGAAATAGCTACCATTTTTTTCTCTGTCTAAATCACAGGTGCAACTAACACGGCTTGAGGTGATATAGAACGCATGAACTCTTATAAGAATATAAATCATGGCAGCTAGAGTCAGATTTTGAGGTGATCATTTTCATCATGAGTCCTTAAAGAGGAACAACTGTTTCTTGGTGGAGTGGGTGGCACCCGTTAGAAACCAAGACTCTCTAATAATGGGCAGCACAAGATAAAAACTCTCATATCAAACTCAAGCCAGTCAAAGAGCGTCCATGCCTTCATTTCCAGCACACCTCACATTACGCCTTCCTCCGGCGGAACCTTATACTTCATTAAAACACCTCAACCTTTAAAATGCAGTTAAACCTTACATAATAAAATCTCTGAAAGGGGGCCTCGTCTTCCTTAAAGCTTTCGACACGGAGAAGCCGTGATACGGTGAACAAGAAAAGTACGACAGCGAAGTCTTCCTCAGACAGACAAGTGTGATTTCAAGCCAAGGCAAGTCTACAATGTACACAAGCATTTGGACACTTTTGTGCTATTGTTCCTGTGCCTTAAACATTTAATCGTCATTCCATTAAGCAAAATTTACACGTTGCCTGGCAGAGGATAATGAAATACGATACATGCTCGAGGTTAAGATTTAACAATGTGGCAGCTGATTCCAAAACAAAACACCCGGTGCCGCTCACGTAGAAAACCTGTCACGAAATAACCCATAGACATCACTGGCGGTGCACTGTACAAATGACGGTACGTATAGTAAGACATCAAAACACTTAGCTGGGAAATGATGCAAATCGAACGACCGATAAAATGAATTAAGACACATATGATGAAAGAGCTTGCTTACCGATTGTGGAAATGTGTGAAGAATGAAATTCATTGTCCGTGAACCTGCACAATAAACAGGTTTTCCCAACGCCGGAATCTCCAAGAAGCAGCAGCTTGAACAGCACATCATACTGCTTGGCCATAATGTTAAACCCTGCAACGGATCTCTAATCCCTGCCCATATCTGCAGAAATGCAAGACGAGCTCCCCTCCCTCCTTACTGCTTCTCCCCGACGCCGAATGCGTTTTTTTCTGTCCTACACAAAAGATCGTTGTTTGCTGTATTTCCACCAAAGGGGTAGGGCTGGATCCGGGCGCCCGACGCTTAGACCAGCGTGAGGCGTTAGGGATGGGCGCTGTGGCCGCTGTGGTTTGCACTCCGCCAACAACGTATTCAGTGGGAGGGGAGGCAGTACTTGGGGTGCAGAGTAATTGCGTATATATGTAATATATGATGTATATATGATGTAATATATATCCATGTAAATATCTCAAAAACTATAACAAGGGGAATAATCACATTCCTCACAAAACTACAGCAGTATAAAGTTTACAGCACTTCCATTCTATACGAGATAAAAGTCGTGAGTAGGGTAATACTGGATTTGCTTGTTATTACTATATAATCATCACACCGAATAATCAATACATAAGCCATTATACAACGTTGCAAGACCTCGAAGTTGTTTTTTAAGTCTAAAACCAGCTGGTTTTAAGTGTAACTTTATTTGTCCGTTGATGACTTAATCGCGCATAGCAACACTCTGAAAACAAGATAGGCTAATGTCCTAAATCATATTATAATTTCTGATAAACTTTCATAAAACCTAACCATAATCTAGTGGCCAGAATAATGCTTATATGCTGTGTGAGCATCACAAATGGACCGTACGTTAGTATCCACTGAACCGAGAATCACACAAGACTATAAGGTTATTTCCTACGGTACCTGCGCCCTGGCTCCTAATCGTCTCTGTAGAAAAGGAAATGTAATACTCGTGAATAATGTAACAGTTCCCCAGACCACCCGTCAATTTTTTTCGCTGCCTGTTCATTAATATATATCTATGGGGTAATACATGACTTCAGAAATAACTAAACACTTTAAAGACTGCTTATTTGAACTGCATAAGCATTACGAGATTTGGCCAGTGTGCTGAGCATGAAAAGCCTGTTTTTAAAAACGCTTGACTTGCTCTTGTTAAAAGATAAGATATTACAGCCGACACACTGAGTGCGTATTAGTTGTGCAAGATAATCAGTGATGTAGCACTACAAAACTGTGTTTTAGACGTGCGCTTGGTTCGGGGTACTAGGCCTATGTCGATTTATGCTGTTATTCGATCATTTTAATGTAAAAATTAACAATTAATTCCTTGTTTGAAATTGCTGAACTAGGCCTATTTTTAAATAACCGTGTCATTTAAACGTGGCGTTTCTATTTACATCAGCATTGTACCGACTAAATACGAAGTATTTTTGTATAGTTACAAGAGTATACTTAAATATCTGGATTGAGAAAAGCAAATTGCCCCCTGCGACCCTGATCAGGATGGAAAGAAAATAATACACAATGATTTTAGATTTAAAGTCAACACTTTTCTTTTTGTTAGCCAGTATAGTAATCATCAGAGATGTAAAATGATCTAGAAACTAACAAGCTGCTCAGCCTAAATGTATTTAAATCCAAAACAAACTGTACTTAAAACGAGTGAAACAACACCCGTCTTTAGGTTGTACAATATGTGCCTGCTGGCTTGCCGTACCCCTGGCTCCGCCAATCAGCGTCCAGTTTCGCAGAAGTGTATGACAGAGGTATTGTAAGGCTGTAGTGGAATAGAAGATTAACTAAAGTGGTCGTTATCCACTGTAGTGTGCTTGTTTTTCGTGTTTTAGTAAGTATGGAGGAGGAAGTAACCCAGTTACGGTGTTTCCGGGAATATCATAAATCTGAGTTATTTAAGGACGACGGCGTGGAGACTGTGACATCAGTCGAACAGGTAGCTTCTTAAAGAGCTAATTAGCTGTCCGCTACCAACTAGTTTGTAAAGCGCAGTTATAATCAAATGCGAAAGCCTGGCTACAGTACGACTGTTCTGCTTTGCCTCGGACATTTTTATGGGAGCGATTTATTTTTATTTTACACGGATCGTTCAGTGCTATTGCTAAAAAAGACTTTCCTGGCAAATCCACTTAGCAGAACCCCGCTGTTAGTGCTCTTGTGTCTCTTGCATGCTACTCTTTGGTCCCCGAGTCTGTCTGTAGGATTAGCGACAGGGTTTCTGATCCATCCAGAGCTGTCAGCTGCTTGATTTACTACTATCTGTGAAATGGTGTGGATGATCACGTGGTGGCTAGCTAACTACCAGTTCTTTAATTTTACTTAATCACCCGGGGTTGACAAAAAAGGGCATTATCACCTCCGGGAACGAGGTTTACCAAAGCTATAGTATGAATTTCTAACGTAACGCCGGCTGATTTACAAAGGGGGGTTATTTAGCATTATTATTAGCAGTTTTCCGACGGGAGACTGCATGCCTGGCAGCCCGTCCCTAGCGGGATTCGAAGCCTTTGCGTTATTAGTTGTATTCAATGAGCAGATAATGAGCAACTACTAAGTTTAGTTTGCATTGTTTAGGCAACCACTTCTACTATATTAATTTGTGTCAAATATATTTTTAATGTAGAATAGTGAAAATTAAGCAAACTTCCATTTTTATGTAAAATTTTTATTTACATGAATTTATTTAGCAGATCGAACCTTTAATTTATTTATTTAGTACGAACCTTGTTCAAGGGCCAAGTGGCGACATCACTGTGTCGCTCATGAGATTTGATCTGGCAGCCTTCTGATCACAGGGCCAATGTCCTAACACTGCCCACCAATTCCACTGGCATAAATGTTAAATGTGTGGTGACTGTGATGAGAATTCACACCTGCATCTTTAAAATGTCTTCAGCGTGTTATAATGTTTTAAATCCAACAGAAAAAAGTGGAAGGCACCATCCAACAAGTATTAAGCGCCTACCTGCAGAATCATAAAATACCACAGTAAGTCTCGTGTTCTTTACAATTTGCTGTTGCTCTTCAAAACCTGAGATGTCATAGCAAAATCTTGTATAATAGTCTTGTATTTTAGTCCCATAATGCACTGGGCCATTTAGCCATATGTGTAATTATACAGAGGTGACCGAAAGACTAATGTAAATAAAGTAGGTCTCCGCAGGGAGCTCAGCCCTCGTGGTGGGATGTTCAGCTTGTACCCATATAAAGCCTCTCATCTCTGGGAGGTGGGAGAAATTTTTGGTAGCATTTTTTTTCCGATTGAGAGCAGAGCACTGTATTTCACAAGGCTGCTGTTGGCAGTGGCTGAGGACGACAGGTATTAAAATCTTTTTTCTGTGTCCTGAACACACTGTGTGTTCTACAGCTAGTAAATGCCTGAATTGAATTAAAAATAGTCACAACTGGCTTTTTCTGCAAGGGGTTGAGGGTGTGTTATTTTCAGAGTGGATGGCCTGTTTATTTCAGTTGCTCGTCCTGTCTGGTAATGTACCCCAACCCTGAAGCTTTTCCCAGATTTTAAGGTCACCCTGTGTACTTTAAAGCACATTCCATCCTTCTGTTATTGCTCATTAGTTATCCCAGTGCGTTGGCATGATTCAGGAGGTTTCCATGGCAACACTAGGGCTTAACGTCGGTGTTGAGTAGACATTACTGACAGGTTATGAGTCATACATGACTGGACCTTATATTGTTAGTTTGCTCTGCTTTTACAAGGTACACTGGACCTTCACCCATGTCCACGGAGGTGCAGAATAGGGCCATAGATTAGTGAAAGGTCCAATTACGCAAACCATTTTTTATGTTAAATTTTATTTACATGTATTTATTTAGCAGGACTCGGTGGTGACATCACTCTGTCACTCATGAGATTTGATCAGTACGTGGTCAACAAGCACAGCAGGCTGTTTGTTCACTTGGGATCTTTGGAGTATTTATTGAGCCTAATTAAGAGGGTCTCCCTGCTGAAGGCGACCCTGCTACTGGTTGTGCTGGTTCTGTCCCGTGTCCTGAGGCACCCCAGTGGGGCTCTGCAGGGTGCCGCTGCGCAGCATCACATTTCTCCATCCTGTCCGTCCGTGCCCCGCCCAGTCTGTCCTTGCCCCGCCCAGTCTGTCCTTGCCCCGCCCAGTCTGTCCTTGCCCCGCCCAGTCCGTCCTTGCCCCGCCCAGTCTGTCCGTGCCCCGCCCTGTCCATTCATGTCCCCCGCCTTGTCCATCCGTGCCCCACCCTGTCCGTCTGTGTCCCAAACTGTCTCACTCCACTTTCTTCTCCAGGCCTGAGCTTCTGAGAGATCAGCACTGTGCTTATCTGAAGAGAGGACTACGCCATCTCTCAGATGCGTATGAGGTACGTGCTTGTGGGTCTGCTGCGTGCACCCGGCTGGGCCCAGTTTCCTGCTGACCGGGGCCGGTTTCCTGCTGACTGGGCCTGGTTTCTCCTCTAGTGTCTGGATGCTAGCCGGCCCTGGCTTTGCTACTGGATCCTGCATAGCCTAGAGCTGCTGGACAAGCCTGTGCCCACCTCCATCTCCTCAGAGTGAGTCTGCTGCCAGCAGCCACCACGCCAGTCATCAGATCTGTGTTGAACAAGAATAGTTTGTCCATTCATTGAAAGGATTTGGTTTCCTGAGTGCCCCGCCGCCACCTCTTGGCCCTGATTGGCTGACGTGGGGACGGTGCGGAATGTTGCCGGGCAGACTTTGTGTGCATATACCAGTGGTCTGAGCCATGATGTCAAATTTGCTGTAAAGAAATGTAAAGCCTGGCTGTAGCCTGGGAAGGGGGTGGAGTTTGAGAAGATGGTCCAGTAGGAGCACAGGCCAACTGTCCTACAATCTTTCAGTGTCTGCCAGTTCCTGGCGCGGTGCCAGTGCCCGACAGGCGGCTTTGCCGGTGGCCCAGGTCAGCAGGCTCACCTGGCGCCCACGTACGCGGCCGTCAACGCCCTCTGCATCATTGGCACTGAGGAGGCCTACAGTGTCATCGACAGGTAGGGTGCATATTTGCCGGTTTCAGGGAAGCACTACTCGCACAAACGATGACGTTGCCAGGGAGTCCACCGCCTGACAACTCAAAGGTTGTGGGTTCATATCCCATGGACCTGCATTCTCTGACACGAGTGAGTGAGGGGCCCCTTCTGGGGTCACGCAGATGTTTAAGAGGCTGACTGGCTGCACCCCCCCCCCGGTAGACAGAAGCTTCTGGAGTTCCTGTACTCCGTCAAGCAGCCCGACGGCTCCTTCGTCATGCACGTGGGCGGCGAGGTGGACGTCAGGTGAGTGTCCCGCCCCTCCAAGCCCCACTGGACGTCGAAACGCAGTCTGAAGCTCCCGTGTCCCTTTCCAGGAGCGCGTACTGCGCGGCCTCAGTGGCTTCCCTGACGAATATCATTACCTCCACGCTGTTCGCCGGGACGCCTGGCTGGATCGTCAGGTGGGGCAGCCACTTGTTTGCCGGCTAGCAGGTTGTGCAGAAATCCCTAAAGGTTTTTGTTACGGGACAGCCCAGCCTGATGGGGTGCCCTTTCTTTACACAGCTGCCAAAACTGGGAGGGGGGTCTGGGCGGCGTGCCAGGCCTGGAGGCTCACGGTGGGTACACCTTCTGTGGCATGGCGGCCATGGTCATCCTTGGGAAGGAGGACATGCTGGACCTCAGAACCTTGCTGGTAAGCGAGCCGGTCCCCCAGCCTTGTGTTTCATGGCACTTTTCCACTGGCATACAGGAACCAGGCTGTACCCAAGCTGTACCACAAAGAGAGACTAGTTACAGTGCGGCTCCAGCTCGCTCCGATTTTCGGCTCCAGCTCGCTCCGGTCTTCGGCTCCAGCTCGCTCCAGTTTTCCACTGCAGCAGGGTTGGCACGGTAAAAGCGTTGCTGAGTTTGGAGAACGACAGTCGCGTAAAACCGATGATGTGCTAATTTCTGCTAGCACATGAATTGCTGTGTTTATGTTTGCATCAAATCCTGGAAGAATTCGCATTAGATTGCGTAAATTCGCAGAATCCTTTCCATTCAGCTGTTCTGTAGTACTTTTTCCAAGTAAGTTCTGAGTTTGAGAATGCATCAATACGGCTCCTGGTGCAGAGAAGCTAATAATGAATTATATACAGAATATGCCCATTTTGCCTTTAGATAATCCATGCATATCGATGCAGAACACCAGTATCTCCATGCATTTCGACCAATCAGATGGTGGTGACACAACCAGCTTGGTTTTGTCACATTTTCGGCCCATGTAAGCGTGGGTACGGTTCATGTAATTAAACTCCTTCTCCTGTAGTTTTATTTTCATCTTTAAGGTGACAAGGGAGAAATGTTTATCCTTATCAGTAAGCATGATGAGTATTAATCACTCCAGAGAAAAAAAAATCCAGCTATAGCCTTACTGGATATTCAGTCTATTAGCTCTGATTGGCTGATAGCACCACAGCTGTTAATGGTGTGATGAAGTACGATCTCTCCTTAAAGATAAGAGCCAACATCACACAGATCTGCTCTTTAAAGTGATGCCGATCTCAGTCCAGACTTTTTTTTTTTTCCCCCCTCATCATCTGTTTTGCTACTATAATCGCAATGCCAGAAAATCTGAAGTTTGACAGCAGCAGGGCTGATGTAACGTCCCTTCAGGAGTCATATCCACACCGGGTTGGCTGTTTGGGTTCCCCTGCTGCGGGGCTCGTGGAGGGGTCATGGTTTCCATAACGGTGCCTTTGGAGTGGGGGCAGGCTATCCCCCGGTGGATTTCCGGACGTGGTCGCGCTCGAAAGCCAGCAACGAGAACAGCCCATTCATAAGGTCGTCTGGACGGAGGATTCAGGATCGTATCACGGTTAGCAGGAGCGCCCCTGGCTTGGTAATGAGGACGGGGGCACTCCAGAGAGGGGGCAGGGCAGCCTCTGGCCATTTCCAAGCCTGGCGTCCATCTTGCAGGCCTGTTAAATTCTTTTTTTGAAAATAATTACTGGAATGCAAAATGGTCTCCCTCTCGCCGTAATTCAGATCAGAGATTGTTTTTCATTTTACATAGTATGTGTTGATGAAGAGCAAAAAAACAACCACTAGTGGTTAGACTGGTTTCAGCCTTAGACCCCTTTCTAACTGTGACCCCCCCCCACCCCCCCCCAGCGCTGGGTGGCCAGCCGGCAGATGCGCTTCGAGGGGGGCTTCCAGGGACGCTGCAACAAGTTAGTTGACGGCTGCTACTCCCTCTGGCAAGCAGGCCTGCTGCCCCTTCTACACCGAGCGCTCTATAAGGAAGGTAGGCCAACTGTTTCTCTGTTTTTTAACTTTGTTGCCAGGGAAAATGTGCCCCCCCCCCCCAAAAAAAAAGAAAAATGGTAAAGGTGTTTTGGGGTTGCAGGTGAGCTAGCCCTCAGTCAGGCCAGCTGGATGTTCGAGCAGCAGGCCCTGCAGGAGTACATCTTGCTCTGCTGCCAAAACCCTGCCGGTGGCCTGCTAGACAAGCCTGGAAAGTGAGTAATAGTGCCGCCCTGGTGGCTGCCTTGCTTCTGCCCTCAAGTATTCTGCTATCCAGCCCAAATGCTCTGTAGGGCTTTTACAGGCCTCTGAACTGGCAATATGATACCAGCTATGTAATCAGCAAGTCAGTTGCACATTTTTTTCTGTTTATATCCAATCAGATCCAGGGATTTCTATCACACCTGCTACTGCTTGAGCGGCCTGTCTGTAGCCCAGCACTTTGGCGGTCGGGATGTTCACCTGGAGCTGGTTATCGGAAAGGATGACAACCGCCTGGTATGTTATGCATTCTCCTCTGACCGAGAGACTTCGGGGGAGAAGCTGGAAAATTTTAGCAAACCGGTTAAACGAGATCTGCCCCCCCACGTTTGTAAAGCACTATTCAAAGATAATCTGACTGGGAAAAGTCATCTTTAGATTAACTGATACTCGCATGCCTTACTGGTATGAGATGAAGTAGAGAAGATATTACACCAGGGGTCTCCAACTCCGGTCCTGGAGAGCTACTGTCCAGTAGGTTTTCTATCCTACCTGGCTTCTGATGAGCCACACCTGTTCTCAGGTAAATACCAGGGCCAGGTATGATAGAAAACCTACAGGATAGTAGCTCTCCAGGACCGGAGTTGGAGACCCCTGTATTACACATTCAAGCACTGCTTATCTCTCGGCTTGTGCACGAGCCCAACGCCCCGTCCTTGAACGTGACTCCATGATCCTGAAACCGGGGCCCCTCTTTCTCTGCACCAGGAGCCGACGCACCCCGTCTACAACATCTGTCCTGAGAAGGTGACTCAGGCCATCACGTGGTTCCAGCAGCAGGCCGTCCCCATGCCCAGGGAGCCGGCCAGCACCTCCTAGGTCCCCGAAGCCTTTTTTTTTTTTTTTGCTCCCCTGATTTTTGCTACAAACTTTGTACAGAAACAGGTGCCACTTTTCAGAGGCACCAAGAATCCACTTTCGTCCAGCTCTGAACACAAAGCACCCCGACTCCAGCTGAAGAAAAAAATGGAATGTCTTTATTTTTAGTTACTAATAAAAGTTCAAATGTTCTGACTCTGTGTGAGCTTCAAATGTAAAAGCTCCTTCAATGACATTTTATATATATATATATATATACATATATACACACACATATAATACTAAAAATATTGCAGTGGAGAGACAGTTGTAGACCAACTGAGTCTGTTCCTCGAGTGTCAAGTTTGGATGCCAATAAAATAGGGCAACATATAGCAAACAGATAATATTTTCAGGAAGAAGGGATCTTCAGTACCTCCTTTAGATGGATGTCTAGCTGGTAGGCAAGGGGGGGTAACATGCTATATAGGAAACCTGCCTGACTGCCCCATGAATCGCCCTGGACTGTGACAGCAGCATCATTGCTGCAAACCCCACCCCCCCCTCACAAACAGGACGGCACGCTAAAGGATAAAATAGCTTTTATTTATAGTCTCATAGTAAAGGTAAGCCTTAACTTGCAAGACAATTGTCGGCAGTATGTACAACATACCTGTAATTTCCATGGAATGGAATCAGAGGAACAAAAGACCAATTTCATAAACACTACGTCCTAATAATGGAAACACACACCCCAAGGCTTACGAAAGCGTCCTGGGGTTTTTAATATATAGAATTAAATCAGCAACATTGAGTTTACAGTGTAATGCACAACACACTGGTGGACAGTTTTTTTTTTTTTTCTCCTTTAATAAAAATAAAATAAAGGTTTACTATTTTAAACTGCATTGCTGTAACATTCAATATCTATTTCATCATTCTGGGAAACTACACGTATTTTTATTATAGGGCCTGTTCACAAAGAAATTCTTTTAAAACTTATTGGTGAACCTGTTGGAAAGAAACGAATGCAATTAAAATTTTTAACCTAAAGGATTCGGCCATCTAACGCCATTCACTATCATAAGCTAACAGACAAAATACAATACAATTCTGGAGGTTGGTACAGCGTACGACGTTTCATATTGGGAGTTTTTTTTAATTTATTTATTTAAAGATGGAAATCTACAGCCGTATGAAAAAGGCTTTAAAAGTGGGCTGCCAGTACAAACACTCAGTTACTTTCACATTTTTCATGGAAAAGAACAAGATCTAAAAAGCAAGACTTCCCCACAGACGGTTTTCCCCCCTATAGTGTTCATTTTAAAACATTTTAAACAGGTTCATATAATTTATCAAATAAAAAATAAAGTACTTTCGTTTTTGCCTTTTTCTTTTTCCCCGAGCAGTCCACACTTCCATGTCGGATTATGATGATTACTGAGGTGACGAAGAGCAGAGTCCTTCAACCACAAAGCTGCCGCACTTCTGGATCGTCAACGTTGCTGAGACGAATTCGGAGGACGGG